GGGGGGGGGGGGGGGGGGGGGGTGGGTGGGGAATTTGGGGGTGTTGAAGTCCACACATCTTCAAGCCGCCAAGGTTGAGAAACACTGCTCTTGACTGTCTTGAAGACAGTCATCCAGAACATTGAGAAACACTGCTCTTGATTGTCTTGAAGACAGTCAACTGGAACATTGTCTCAAATGTATGTCCACCTTCCCTTCCCTATTTTTCAGCTGGAAAAATTTGGCAAAGCAGTGAATTATGCTGACGCTGCTATCTCTTTCATCGAATGTGGGAACGCTATGGAGCGCGATCCATTAGAGGCGAAATCTCCCTACACCATGTATTCAGAGACTGTGGAACTCATCAGGTTAATGTCTTTTTTGTGATCATTTTCCTCATCTCATTCTGCTTATAATTAGAACTTGCTTCCTATTTTTTTTAAGGATCGTTTTGACCTTGTTAATGATTAGTCCAAGGCATCTCCATCTCAGAAGTCATCATACTTAGTTCTTTTTGCCATTTTATTAATGTCAAGGAAAATTTATAATTGATGGACCCTGTTCCTATAAATTAGCCCTGTTACAGGATAATATGTGTGTTATATAATTTGCAATATTCATATAATTAAAATTGAATGCAGTGGATGGAAGCAAAGCATCATAATTTCATCATTTGGCTGTGTCACTTATATTGGAAAGGGGTAGTTTTATTTTTCCAAATATTAAAGGGAGACCATTGGGGTCTCTCTTATAAATCCTGCTTTTTCAGAGTTTATAAGTTAGCCATAAAATAATTGTTCCAGAATTAATTTTGGCAGATAAGGGCTTCAGCTTACCAACATTTGTTTAGATATGCACAGAAGGGAAGAGGGGGACAGAAGTACATCCAGTTTATATTCAACAAGAGTGTTGATATATTTACTTACTTAAAATATCTGTATGTTATCCCACAGCAGAAAGTTCCTTAGCTGATATAAGGACTAGGTGTATGCACTTCAGCTTTTGTTGTGGGTATTTTATGGGGAATGGACTAAACTGTATTCTTTTCTACATGGGACAGGGAGAGATAGAAAGCTGTTCATGGTCATCTCTCCTGATTCTGCATCAATATCTTTTTTAACATGGAAGAACGTTCCCAACTTACAATTCCAGGCAATCAGGACCACATAGAGAAGAGGCTGATGTCATAGCATCACACAGCCAATCCGCTATGAGGAAGTAACTCCCCCCAAAGCTCTTCCACAATTTTCTTGTTGAGTGAAGTCCAAAAATAATGTGTGTCTTGGACTGAAGCTACCTCCCATTGGTCAGTTAGCTGTAGGAGGACCTGTGTTTGCTGCCTTTTCTTAGATGACTCATTGCAAAGGGGTATGTTCAGCTCCCATTATTCCCAAACAATTCAGGTGCAACTCCCCACAACTGAATTATAGGTGGAATAGGAGAGGGTAACATCCTAGTCATTGCGTTGGGGAGCGAAATGACTTGGGCTGATGGTGTCTGATAGAAATGCCTTCATTTAACTGCTTGGCTACATTCAAACTTGACAGAGTTAAAGATAGCTCTATTGATCAGTACATCCGGCTCTGTTTATGGATTGGTGGATATGAGAGAAGCATGAAGCTGGTGGAGTTATTAATAGGCTGTGTCCTCAAGCCATTTTCAATTTAATTTGCTTTGCTGAAATAACACTCATTTAATATGGGCAACGCTTCTTAATACTGGTTGAAACATCGCAGGTCTATAGCACTGGCCCCTTATGAATCTCAAATGTTGCTAGCCCACCTTTCCATGATAAGTAAGGCAGCTTGCAACAGAGTTTAAAAACAAATATATATCATGGTCATTGGGAAAAAAACAACTAATCTCATTTTTAAACCAGACAGGTTTCCCGCCCCATGTAAGCTTTAATTTCTTTTAAGATTCTGTTAATTAAACATAGTGCACTAATCCACCAGGAGGATCCTCCTGGCCTCATTGCACATTCCTAGAAAATCAGATGGATGGATGTCATCCATTTAGGGCTTGATTTAGAATTGTGTCAAATCAAATCTTTATTACGGTCAAAGACCAGCATAAAGAATTGTGTCTTATCTATCCAGAAAAAGATACCTAAAGAAGCTGGAGTGGTGGAGTCCATCACAGAGTTGAGAGAACCAGCTTGCCTTCCACAAAATAGATCTCTGTGACTAGCCATCACCCCTGCAAGAACCATTTTGTTCCTTACAGCAATGTTGTAAGAAAGCCACAACCTCCTGTTAAAAATATCCCTTTGACGTCCACACATCTTAAAATGGCTAGGATTGAGAAACGCTAGATTACACAGTGCCATCTGGTGGGATCCAGAAAGCAGGCCTTTTCTGTCATGGGACTTGCCCTGTGGAACACCATCCCACCACCCCGAGATTCGTACAGCCCCCATCCTGGCCCTATTTAAATGACCCCATAAGACCTGTGTCCCCAGGCCTTGGGTTAGTGGGGGTGATGGTCTCCTTGCATCATTGTGTCTTCCTTTTCCCTCCCCCTCCTATGATCGTTTTTTTCCAGACAGTTGATGAGTTGTGTATTGTATAATTTTTTATTGCTATATTTTGTAAGTCTCCCAGGGTTGCAACCGATTGGGGCAGTCTATAAACTCTGTCAATAAATAAAATGAAATGGGAGCACTAAACCCACAAATACTGCTTACTACAAATACAAGAGTTTCTACAGCCAACCGTCTAATAAATCTCCCTTCATACATCCACAGCTAAGCTTTACATAGTTTCCTAAACTATGGCATCTGGGGTGCAAAAGCCTGGAGGACCACTGGAGCAAACATCTCCTTGGTGCCATCTCGTGATCCTCCAGTTATTTGCACCCCAGATCAAATAACCCTATCTCAGACTTCCTAGGTAGTAACATAACCATTAGAAAACAGTTTACAGTTCAAGTAAGCTCTTCATGGAAGACTTTGAAATGGGTTTCAAATAGGTTTCCATTTCTGGTTTGAAGACATATTGCATGGTGTTCACACAACATGTGTAACTAGGTTAGATGAAGATCAACTATCTGTAGATCCATATGGTGAGCTTCAGTTCTGTTAACATTTGTTTGCATTTGTATTGTTCTTCCTGTTGGCGTTACATGGTGTCTGTATTGTTTAATATTGCTATCATCAAATGCAAATATCACCCAAGACATGTAATATCCAGATTTGAATCCACCCCTACTATTTAAAGAATGGTCAAGAACCTTCAGTAGGGAAATAGTACATCTTTGCATTAGGAATTAGTGTTTGTTTACGTAGCAGAGAGGTACTGGATTGGAAGAAAAGTGGGTAACTATGGGGAAAGCATATGCCTTGTAAATACTTCAGGGGATTGTTTGCATGCAGGTCTGGTTTCAGCAGAACAGACAGCTGCAAAGAAAGCACGGGGACATGAAAGCAAACCGGCGTGTCATTGGTATGGGCAAAGAGCTGCAACAGTATCTTCTATATAGTCTCTAGCAGCCCTAAATTCTAACTTTAGAAGATGCTGCCTAGCTGTGTGGCACTTAATTAGAGGCATGCAGATCGACCTCCATCCAGTTTGAATGTCCAAACTGATGCAGAAAGTTTCACGAGTTTGATTTGAGTAGGCAGTCTGGTTTGGAAAAGCAACCCCATCTGATTCAGACTTGTGAATGGATTCAGATTTCTGAATGAGTTGGGGAAAACTATGTCTGCAGAGCCACAAAAGCCTGTTAAATCTCCAAATCGGTCAACCTTTCTTAGTAGACATCCAGTTTCATTGGAGGCTTTCAAACCTATCTGGAAATTTCAATGGTGCTGTTGAGTTACTTTCGCGTGCTGTGGTATGTCCGTGCTGGATATTCACACAGCTCTAAATGTAATTCTTTTGTAGCACCATCACTGAACTTCCAAATTTAGACCAAGAAAGAGGAAAATGAAGGGTGTGCAGCCTATCACTGTATTCAGCTCAACCCCATTTATTAATTTGTTTCTTAGATTTGTATCCTGTTTTTGGTTCGAGGGCTCAAGATGGCATACCTAGTGAATGGTTCAGTACTGAGCTAGAAGTAAGACAAAGATATGTGATTTATCCTTGGTTGTTTAATATATGTATGGATAAAACGGATGAAAGTATAAGGAATGCTTTTGGTGACTTTATAGGTATGTTGCCTGGGGCACATGAATATACATGTATTTTTATATGTAAATGATACCATGTTGTTGGCTGAGAACCTGAATGGTTGGCATCAAATGAATGATGCAAGGAGAATCATGGACCTGAAAATTAATGTATCGAAGACCAACGTAGTTAAGTTTGACAGGGAAAATGGAGTAAATTACTGCAAGTTATACATGAATGGCCAAAAAATAAAACAGATGAATTTGTATATCTCAGTGGAACATTTACTAAAAGTATGAAAATGAATGGAGAAATTTTAAGATATAAAAATGACAATAGAAAGATAGGTGGCATTAAGTGGCAGTGATTGGTTTTAAAAGCCTGTTTCCTCCCATTTTGTTACATGAAAGTGAGAGTAGAGTCAAGAATAAATAGATGCCGAAGGAATGTGGATTGAATACAAAAGTGAGTGACCAGAACAAAAGAAATATGTTGAGTTAGTTTGGTCATAGAGGGAAAATGAATAAGGATTGGATTGTAAAATAAAAGAAGGATGAAGAGGTCAAAAGGAAGATTATGGATGGATGGAATTGATGAGATCTGGGGAAAAAAGGAGATATGAGAAGTTTAAAGAACTAAAGACTATGTATGAAGTAGGAATGGAAAGGTATAGCAAATGGTATTGGTATAAACTAGTTTTAGCCATGTTTCCTTTTCTTTTTCTTATCTCATGCCTTTAATTTGTTTGGCCTGCTATTTACCCCTCCTTTTCTATGCTCTGCATAATGTTGCATATCCCAAAAGGGAATTGCAAGATGGGTATGTACGTGTGGATATATGCTAATTATAGCCATTCAGCAGCTTGGATGCCTGAGAAGGATGTTGATCTCTAAGAATGAGGGATAGATTCATGACTTGGAAGGCCAGGACAATGACAGTCTGGTCCCTTGAAGCAAAATGCTTTTTTAAATCCCTTCCCTTAAAGCAATACGAATCTTGGCTCCTTTGCCTAATCCACCAAACAAGATGGGAGTGATTATTAAGAGCACAAGTGAGAGGAAGAGAGGAAGAGAGAGTGAAGCATAGATCAAAAGGACCTTCCGTAACAAGCACATAATGCAGTGATGGGGGTGACGGTGCACCAGGGTGGTCAAAGCAGTGCAGTTCATCTGCACTCCATTACTTCCTTGTAAATGAAACTGCCGGAATACCTTAAAACTTTCGTATGCAACAGTGAACTCTATTACTTATTCTAACATAAGTACTGTGAAATTGTATTAAGGCTCAGAACAATGGTTTTTATATGATGATTTGATTTTCAGAAGGCTAAGTGCATGGAATATGGAAGTAGGAAGGTCCAGGCCAGTGAGGGTGGAGGGGAGAGGAGGAAGCAAATGATCCGTCTTCCGTCGTTCAAAAGCTGGGGCAGGATCCGTTGCACAGAAAGAGACTCAGGATTCAGTCTGTAGAGTTGATATCCTGCATGCAAAACCTGAGGCCCCCAGGGGTGCAGGTGGCCCTGAAAGCAGTGATTATGGACCCCAGGGCTCCTTCAAATGCACCACGCTGACAAGGGGGAAACTATGAAATGTACGAACAGAGAGCTGGAGTAGATGATACCCAAGGTCCTTCCCAATCTTACCTTCTATGATCCTATAATTGGAGAGTAATCATACTAATTGTAGCCATTTTAATTTAATGGAAATGTAGATGAAGGAAAATCAGTTTAGTTTTTGACCTGGAACCACCCACTATGTTGGGGAATAGGGAAGGTCTGTTTCCTTATTCCTAAGAAAAATTGTACATGCCTGATTTTTGCATTTCATATTCAAGCTTGGGAACACATGTGCTTTTTCAGGTTGCCTGTATCTGAAAATGTCAAAAGGAGCAGCAGTGGAAGAAGGTTTTAGGATGGGACTTTGAAAGTTACTACCAGTCAGAACAGAAACATACAAGGGAAGGAGATATTGATGTGACATTCTTCACTGTTGGACCCAGGGCGACTTAGAGCATAAGGATTTTTTTAAAAAAATAAATGCAGATTAATCCACCTGTGCAGATTGTAGTCAACCATCTTCAGTGCATCAGGTCTGATGCAACAAAGTGCCTCTTGGAAGCCAGATCTACACACTGAGTAGTAGCTTCTGTACCGTAGGTGTGCAGACGTCACTTTCTGTGAGCAAAGCAGATTGCCCTGGTTGTTCCAGTCTGCTGGTTGAAGTACTTGGCCAAAATATTTTGAAAGGTTGTTCAACCTTTGTCCAAATGAAGGGTGCCTTCAAAGATGGCTGTGGTCCTACCGATTAATCATAAAATAGAAACAATGTCGGTTGTTGCAAAAGGCAGGCAGACATTTCAAGCCTGCGATGGGGGGAACTCACATTCCCTGAAGATCGATTTTTCTAGTACTGTTTTTATTGAAGATGGTAGTTGCCATTTTGAAGGGCAATGGGTGCCCTGGTGCTTGTTTACAACCTTGAAATAATTAAGCTGTGTCCATGGCCACCATTGTTCCTTGATGCAACCCTGTTCAATCTCTTCTCTTAAATCTCTCTCTGAAGGTATGCCATGAGACTTAAGAATTTCACTGGGTCTTCTGCCACAGAAGGAGACAAGAAACTTGCAGTTCTCTGGTGAGACATCTTCCATCCTTCTAAATTATTTTCATCAAATCATTTGACACTTATTAAAGCCTTCAGTGAAGACTAAACTTTAGAGCCTTCTGGCCTCTCTCTCTTCTCCCAATATTTCTTGCCTTCCTATTCTCTGGCCATTTCTTCCTCCTCTACTCTTCTTGCCTGTTGCTCCTTTCAGTTGCCTGCTCCTCACTCCCATCTTTTTCTTCATGTTGAACCTTCTTATTCATCTGCCTCTCTCCTCAGTGCTTGTTTCTTGAATTATCTTTTTTCCCTCTTCTTTTACTGTACTGTTTTCTGCACATTTTATTTTTTCTCTTTTTCTCTTTTTCTTTTCCATATATTTCCATATTTGCCTTTTATCTTTGTTAAAACTCCTAATAAAAAATATTTTTAAAAGGGGGCTAGGTCATGCTAACCCAAAGTGATTCTCTACTGTGGTTTGTGTCATCTTCTAGTTCACCAGAAGTAATGTCAGGTTTGTGTTTGTGTGTGTTTCCAAATTACTATAGCTACCGCTGCTTATCCCTTCTCTATCTGAGAATGTTTAAACTAAAGAAAGACCATGCAATGAAGTACTCCAGATCCTTGATGGAATATTTTAAGGTAAATGTCATTTAATTCCTTTTTATGCAGGAATGGCGGGGAGAGAGACAGAGAGGGAAATACCATATTTTTGCAGCTGGGGTAGAACAGCTTGCTATTATGTTCAGCTACAAAAGGTTACAAAGGGTGGGACCTTGTCATAAAGTGTCCTCAAGGAGGCAGGTGTAGAGTAGAATGAGGTAGATTCTCCTCCAGAGATCCCTCCAAGATAGCCCCTAGGGAAAAACATGGTTTGACCTTGGATGGAAGGTTTTTTTCTGGCAAGGTGACTTCTTCCCAAAACTTACTGTAAGGCCTTTGCCACAATGTATAAGGTTATGAATTTTTAAGAAATCGAGGAACTGTGTATTTAGCTTAACTGGCCTTCAGCACAGAAAGTGCCACCCGACTTGCAATTTATATACATAGCCGCTGTCGGAAAAGCAACCCCTTGGTGTATTTACGTGTGTGAGTGTGTGTGTGTGCTATGTACATATATTCCAGTGGATGTCCTAATGCTGTGAAACATTGATACACATACTAAAGTGTTTTGAAAGGTAGAATATTATATTTATTGGCTGATGTAATCCCACCCATTGGATTTAAAAAATGCAAATGCTTATTTGGTTCACTAAGACCAGATAATGCTTTCTTCCACTTTATTGGCTTCCTCTGAAAAATATGCATTTTTATTGTAAAAAGGAGGTAGTCCCCATTTTCTGCATGCATATATATGTATATGTATATGTATATGTATATGTGTATGTGTATGTGTATGTGTATGT